GTAAAGCAGCATCACCAACTCCAGTAGCATCACCTCCTTCAGCAGAGAGTACACATCCGCAGACACAACAGAATGAGAGAACCAAAACACAGAGCACGTGGCGCATTGTCAGCAGAACAATTGTTGTTATTATTATCTGGTGGCACTACTCTGAGCAATTAAAAATAAGAGAAAACAAACACCAACAAAAGGAAATCATTGCTCAACATCAAGAAATATATAGAAGCAGACATAGAAAACAAACATAAATCCATAACTATCACTCAAAAAGTGTCCAATTTAAGTAACAAAACACACAATACCCAATGCTAAACAGAAACTCTAAAACAAACACGGAAGAGAAACAATGATTTAATAATTTATACCTACAAGCAAACAAGAGAAGAAAATACACCAAAATATAGCTCTTCATTCGTTGGTCAAGATAGCAAAACATTACCTTCTGTGTAACAGTTATTATTATTTTCCTATTCTGAACAAAACAGAATACCAAAACGGTGCAGGGCAAAAAACACAACGCCCCCAACAAACCACGCAAGCAAAAAACAAAGGTATTAATCATTAGCCCAACTTACCCAAAAAACACAGAAATATTCACCAACTATGGGTGCAAGTCTATATGTGTATATTTACGCAATTATAAATATAAATATTCAACTGTTATTATTACTTCTCTTCTCACTGCAAAAAACAGTTCATTATCATTATCACAGTGCAAGCCCATGCACACACACAGAGAGAGTCTCCAATAACACACACACACACAAAAACAAAAGAAAAGATATTCCAATTGAAAGAGAAAGCTGGTAAACAGATTATTAGTTTATTCACCCATGGGGTATATACGCAATTATGATTATGTTAGTTTAACCATTATTATTATTTGTTCTCAGATGAGTCCCACCGTTCAGTACACGGTAGCGGAGAAGAACATAGACACAATCAGTAATGGTACACGCACCCACACAGAACTGCTGATACTGCTGCTGCTGTCTGCATTTCCCACACCTTGTTGGCTATTTGATGACTCACTCCCTGCAGGTGCAGTGTCATTCCCAGGTGTTGTATTATGAGAACCATTACCACTCACTGTGGGCGAAGTGTTAGGAGAGTCAGCAGAAGGTTGTGTTGCCGCAGTTTCATTGTTATCTCCATTTTCACCCTCACGTGGTGTATTGTTGCCCTTGCTTCCATGTACACCATCATCTGAAGACTCAACAGCACTCCCCTCAGAAGGTTGAGGAGCAGGAGAATGGTCAGAAGAAGAAGAAGCACCACCACCAGATACACCATCCGCCGCAGCTTCTTCTTCGTTACTTTCAGGATGACTTTGACCATCGGGACGTTGACGTTCGTTACCACTGGTTCCACTATTTTCCCTTGTTTTGGCGGGAGCTGCTTCTTGTGGTTTATTGTGACAAGTAGAGTCGCCAGAAGTGCAATTCTCCTGAGCGTCACCACCATTGGTAGGGCAGCGTGCCTCCGCAGAAGGTTTCACACACTCAGCACTAGCAGCTTCAGATCCAGCACCGCTAGGAGTACACGGAGGACCATTCTTGCCTTGTGTACAATCTTCAACACCATCAGGTGATCTTGTAAGAACACCGGAAGGACCACCAGGAGCAGAAGCAGACATTCCAGGTTCACCAACGGGTCCAGCAGCACCAGCAGGACAACTAACACCATCACCGTCTTTGCAAATGGAACCAGCCTGGGGTACAGGTTGAGACTCTGCAGCTGCAATACAGAGAGAATCAACACTCAAAAGTAAAACGAGAAAGAATAACACACGGTGCACCATCGTTGTTATAATAATTATAAACACTCTCTGAGTTCACTTTTCTGTAGAAATAAAAAGAAAGAAAAAATCAAAACAAAAACAAATAAGAATTAAAGAAAAGGTAATCAATGACAAATCCAGAAGAATCACCTAGATGAAATCTAATTAAAGGATAATAACAAACAGTACCCCATTCGCAAGCAGAAAATTCCAATAAAAAAAGGAGAAAAAAAGAATCCCAGAACACAATGACCAGAACCAGAAAGCACACAAATAAGTTTCTTTAGATAAGCTTTGCAGGATATACGCAATCAAGATCATTGATGCATCTCTTACTCTTTTACCTTACTCAGCACAAAGTAGATCAAGAAGATAATGCTCGGCAAATCACCAGCAACCCATACGCAAACAAACAGTTATTAACTATTAGCCCAATTTACCCAGTAAACACAAGAAATACACCAACCTTGGGTGTAAGTCTATATGTGTGCATAAACGCAATTATAAATATGAATTCATCTGTTATTATTTCTTGTTTTCTCCCACTAGAAAAAAACAGTTCATCATCATCACAATGCAAGCCCAGACACACACAAAGAGAGAGTCTCCAAGAACATACACACACAATGGAGTAGCAATAATAATAATTATAGGATAAACACAGAGAGAGCAAAAACACACACAAAACACATTAACATTAAGAAACAAAAAAAAGAAGAAAAATCCCAACAGGTGGAAGATTAGTTAGACTGTAGGGATTGCATGCAAAAAAGAAAAGAAAACAAAGGATGATCTGAGTCACACCACCATTACAATCAGCACACAAGAATACAGGCCAGTGTAACCACAATCAG